CTGCAAAGGTGCCTGAGCTGCCGACGTGTTTTTTTTTCTGGTCAGACCCGCCGTCCGAAGTGTAGGATATGATAAAGAGCGCATTGGTGTTTGGATGGTCTGCCAGCCACGTTTGAAATTCTCCCCATAGCGGGCATCCGACACTAGCAAGCTGCTTTTTTACCAATGCCAATGTTCTACCTGCAGTTGAATTTTCCACTGGCTGGCAATCTGCCCACCGCGTCATCTCGGAATACCCATCTGCCCACGAGCATAAGGGATCATCGTCAATCAAGTGCGGATCTGTTGCCACCAGCGTTTGCACCTTCATGCCTTGAAGTTTCCTGCGTTGCCAGATGGAGCTGTTGGTAGCGTCGCACATGAAGGAGACCACTGCCACGTCCAGCGGCGGACCGCCCACGTAAGGCGACTCCGCCCACTCCTGCAACATCGTGGAGTGAAAGTTCCTAGACGCCGCGAGCAACGCAGCCCACGTGTCGACCTCGCACCGAGACACTGTGGGGCCCGATATGTCGACGCGCTGCGAAACTCCATACGTCCACCCAGCTACATTGGCAGCGTTGCGCAAGATACCGACTGCGAACCGACTGTGTGCGAGGAGCCGTTTGCCACCCTTGTGCTTCAACACGCTCAGTCTGTCTGGTGTCTCCAATTCTTCCACTTTTGCTTCAAGCTTGGTTATGCGTTCCTTCTGCCGCCTGACTTGCTGTGCTAAGTTTTTCAGTTTCTGTGCTCGCTTAGCCGTCCGATCCCGCGGGTTGGCCCTAGCTCGCAGCCTGGCGGGCCTGCGCGGCTGGGGCAGCCCAGCGGGTTGGGCTGAGACAACAGCAGTGGGCGGCTCATCATCCGATATCTCCATCGCAATTGCTTCATCATGGACCCGCTGAACTAAGAAACCTCGCACATGGTTAACTATCGAAGTCCACTCCTCTTCTGAAATATTATACCCCATCTGGCGCACGAGCAAGACGAACACGACTTGGACATCATAGAAAGCACCGGGTTCCACGGCGCCTCCCCTGGTCATCCTGGCCCAGGCTGCCTGATGCACCCTGTCGGCAGGCACGCATTGGCCAACTAGGCGGCGGAGGGAGTCCCCCTCGATCACCACGCAACCTGACCGAAGCCGACATGTATGCTCCAAGTACAGTTGGGATCTGCGCTGGATCGAACTTGGATGAAACATCATTGAGCCAAAATGGCTACAGTGCTGCTGTTGTTGGTGTTGGTGCTGCTGTTGCTGTTACTGTTGATGGTGCCAGCATTGTTGTGCTGCTGCTGTTACCGTGCTGGTGTTGGCGTGTTTGGTGTTGGTGTTGTTAACGCGATTGTTGTTGTTGCTGTTGTTGTTGCTGTTGTTGTTGCTGTTGTTGTTGCTGTGTATGTGCTGTTGTTGTTTTTGTTGGTGGTGCTGTTGTTGTTTGTGGTGATGTTGTTGTCGTAGTTATTGATGTCGCTGTTGTTGTTGGTGCTGGTATTGTTGTTGTTGTCGTTGTTGGTGTTGTGGTTGTTGGTTTTATTGCTGTTATTGCGGTGCTTATTGGTGTTGGCGATGTGCGTCATCGGTGATGTTGTTGTTGTTGATGTTATTGTTGGCGTTGTTGCCATTGTTGCTACCTGTTCTAGGTGGCCAACTGTCAACTGTCACCCTGATGTTGATGATGGCGATGCTGAGTGGGGACGCGGGAGAGGACGCACGTCTGCGAGGGAGATGGGGCCGAGACGGACGAGGACGAGAGAAAAAGATAGAAGGATCCTTTCTAGCTGTTTCTCGCGTCCTCGTCCTCCTGGTCCTCCTTCAGTCAGAAGGAGTCCTCTCAGAAGGAGGGGGCATATTCAACACCAGTCTTTGCAATCGCCCCCGATCGCAAGAAGCGAAACTCACACGTCGAGAGCAAAGCGGCTGCAGCCGCGACCTGTAAAATGTAAATTCGTGGCCACACAGCGGCACGTGCGGTAGATGCCTAGATACTATTGCCATGTTGCCGTGGGCTCTGACCGCCAGAGTCGGACCAGAGTCGATCGCATCGGTCGCATCGGTCGGCAGTCGTCGTCATCGTCGTCTTCGGAGTTGGAGTCGTCGTCGGAGTCGTCGTGGTCGTCGTCGGAGTCGGAGTCGGAGTAGACGTCTTCGATCGAACGTCCGACCGAATCGCCGAATGGCCGAGTCGGAGTAGACAGGCACAGGGCAAGCGGAAAGTGGCGGCAATTGCGGCAACGGCGGCGCCTCTGAGAACCTCTCAAGCCGAACCCATGTCGGTCATGTCGGAGTTGGAATCGTCGCTCTCGAAGGAGTCGGAGTCCGAGATGTCCGAGGCCGAATCCTTGTCGACGTCGAACTTTGGGTCCTCGCTCGGAGGGGGGGGGAGGGCTGATCCTCGTCGTCCTCACCCTCCCCTGGAGTCTCCTCACCCTCGTCCTCCTCGTCTCCTGGAGTCCTTGTTCTCACACCCCCGCCCTCGTCCTCCGTCATCGCGGCGATGGCGGAGGACGGGGGCGAGGACGAGGATGAGGAACATAAAGATCAGTCGTTGGGTCGACTGATCTTTATTTTTCTCGTTGACCCCCTCTCCGACACCCTTGTTTAGGACACGTGTCCTGGAATGATGCTGCAGCTGCTGCAGACTCGGGCTCGGGCGGCTTGATGGCGACGGGCGGGCCGCCGCGGCTGCCGCTGCCCGGCTTGCCCGAACTCGGACGGGGAAGCCACCACACATCTGGGAACTCGGGCTTCGGCTCGGACAACTTCGGCGTCTTGTGCAGCACCCCGCCAGGCATGTTGGGCATGACGATCTTCTTGACCTTGAACGTCGACTTCTTGTCGACGGGGACGTACTCCATCTGCTTCTCGATGAGCTTGAGGAGCTTGTCGTTCTGCTTGTCGAGGCGAGCAGCCGTCGCCTTCCAGCAGTCGCGCTCCATACGGCAACGGGCCATGGCTTGGCGATGCTTCTCCTTCAGCTCGTCGCGGCCCATAGCGCACTTCGGCATAATGGGCTGCCTGGAATCTGGAAGAAACCAGGAAGGAAAAAGGGAGAAGGCAGCCGACTCCCTCGGGCACAAACGGCTGTGGACCGACGACGGTATTTCAAGGGTACGTCTGGTGCTAGGTAGAAAGACGACCGTCGACCCCATCGGGGCCACGAGGCGAGTGAGATCGTCGGCTCCCCGCTGAACCCGAGTGCGCCGTCCTATGGCTGCACGGCGACATATCAAAACTTGTTCTAACACCGAGAGAGCAAACCACAGTCGACGTATTTTGGCATGTGCTTTGTTTTTTCTTAAGAATATAAAGAAAATATAGAACAAACAAATCATATGATGATGCAAGTTTAAACGCTTTCCTTAAAGAGCAAGGAAAATACACATAAACAACAAAAAACGCCCAGACACTTAGAGGAACACATACTAACTATAATTCTGAACTCTTGAAGCTGTTCCAAGTTAGCGGCTCAGCTCACCTATCTGCTCTAGGCGCAAGCAGCATGGAGTGAAGCTCTTGGGACAACCTCACAACGTACTTTTGCCTCGCGCCAACAAGGCTTATGTTGATTCACAGCCCTCCCCGTCATCCACGCTGTCGTACTCGTCATCCGCCGCCTTGTCCTCGCCATTATTATTATTTCATTTTGTTCCCCTAACGAGCCCGATGGACAAAATCGGCGCTTCACGTTCATTCCGATCAGGTTCTCCAAACAGTGCTTCAATCGACGATTTCCCATTGGTGTCGAAGGGATGCTCTTTCGTTGGCGCTATTCGCGGTCGTCGTCCTGGGCCACGATTGCGTTGCTGTTGCTTCTCGGTCCACCATCGCCCGGCCATGCTTGCCCTCGTTGTTGCGATTCTCTGTGGCCAGGTCCAGGACCGCCTTGCCTTCTTTGTTGTTCCTGGATTCGCCATCCCTGGTCCTAGGACGACCCGTTTGTCTTCGTTGTTGTGATTCGCCGTCGCGGGTCCCAGGCTCCTTGTCTTCGTTGTTACTCGATTCGCAGTTGCCGATTCTAGGTCCCGCGAGCCGTTATTGGTGCGTGCGGTTCGCAGGAATCCCGCTGGCCCTGTTTGTTGCGATTCGCCGTCGCCGGTCACCGAGTTCTGCTTGCTATTATTGTTGCGATTCACCGTCTTGGATACTCGTTGTTCGCGATTCGCCCTGTGGCGCTCTCACCCCGTGGGTTCATGCATGTTGATCCGCGCATGTAGCACTCCCCACGTTGCACCTCATGTATACAGACAACGCTGACGACGAGAGGGAGGAGGATACGTTTCTCCTGCCCCACCCTCGTTCTGCCCCCCTGTCTCCCTGCCACCGCTTTTTCAAGCTGTAATGTTTGCCATGCAGTCGGGCCGAGGCATAAGATCAAGGTTGGCTCGGGGAGGGTCTCCCAGTGTTCTTCGTGTTTGTTGGATGGTCTTGTGCATCCTGGGGGAGGGCACCCTCGAGTGCTCATCAGCGTGGCCGGCGGGGGTGCTCATGTTCTTGGAGGTTGTTCTTCTGGCCTAGGTCCGACTGTATCTCCCTGCCTGCCGTACGGCCCCGTCTGCCTCGACGCCCCCTACGTCCGTCCATGCCTCGATGCCCCCTCCCTCCACCCTCGCAGGCGATTTCTCTCCCCCAATCCCCGACTTCCGCCAGAAAAGTTTGGTCGCTCAGAAAAGGGGAGGAATCTTGGGATACATCCCGAGGGGGCTATTCGGACGCACTGTCGAGGATGGACGCCCCCCCCTCGTATATCCCAGGGTTGGGCCCCAAATTGTTGATCCTCTCGAAAACCTCACGGAGCCTGGGATAGGGGTCGACGCATCCCCTGTTACATCCATCCCCCTCCTTCCCTCTGATGCCGACTCCCTTGCTTCGACACCCCCTCCGTGCATCGACGGCCCTCCCCCCGTTCCCCATATGCCTGACGCCGTCCTCCCCGGCTCGATCCCCACTCCCTCGCCGGCGCCTCGCTCCCGCCCCCCCCCCCGGCCCGCTGCTCCCGGCGGCGCCTTGCGCCGAGATCCTCGAGGACATGGTGGTCTGCGAGTGCAGGAGAGCCGACCAGGAGCACACCGTGGTGCACCAGGAGGCCCGCGCTCTCCGAGAGCCGGGGGGGGAGGGGCGCGGAGGAGGCGGGGTCAAGCGTGGAGCTGCTGGGCCGCGAGGAGGCGCGATCGCACGGCTTGGGGTAAAACGCCTGCCGAGGTCCCCCCGCAGCTCGATCTCCTGGCGCCCACATATCGCAGAGCGGATGTCGTGCGGAAGACGACAGGATGGGCCTGGAGTGTCCTGGAGAATCTCGTTCCGGGTTTCGAGGTGAGTTTCGTGCGGAGTTTTTTGGGCCAGGAGGGAAGACCACAAGAACCCGCACGAAATGCACTTCGTTTTTCACTCGCCATTTCGGGCTTCTGCATGGACAGAAATCCATAATCCATGCAACAATCCGCTGCAGCACGTCTGCAAGGGTGCTGCCCCGATCGATCCCCCGTGCGGTGGTTATGGATGGTTCCCCGCCTCGTGGGGGGTGTCCACGCTTCGGTCGGTCGGGCTGCGTCGCGGTCGGGAACGTCCGGTCGGTGCGGCTCGGTCGGTTGTCGTGCCGTTGTGGTTGCGCCGCTGCGCTCGCTGCGTGCGGCTGGCGGCCTGTCAGTTCCGGTCGGTGCTCAGTTCATGTTTACCCGCCGATGCATCGGGGATGCAGCTCGATGTTGAGCCTGGCCTTTTCCACGCCAGCGTCGCCGATGCATCGCCGACGGCGCCGATGCATCGACGATGCATCGGCGGTGCGGCGCGATCCTCCGACCCCATCTGCTCGGACCCCAGTCGGGAAGCCTCTCGTGGCGGCCACGATGGCCACGGTGCTGGTGGCGTGAAGATGGAGAAGTGTGTGACGGTGACGATGAGGTGGTGGCGATGAGAACAGGGTGTTGTCAGTTTGAAACAGATCCCTATCCCTTTTTGTTGGCATTTCGATGCTGATCTTCGGGATTCCCCCAGTTTCCGAGGGCAAATCCCTAATTAAGCTTGTCCTCGCTGTTGCTCCCATCTCAGGGATGGAGATAAGGTCGAGGCTGGTTAGTGTGGAAAGGAGCACGCGCGTGCCCCACGGAAGCGTCGCATCCCCCGAGGGCCCCGGGGACCCTCAGAAGCCCCGGGGGTACCTCAGGGCCCTCAGAGCTCGACGAAGCACGTGCACAGGAGCTCGTACATCATGATTGCTGCTCGCATGCGCTCCTTCTCCTCCTCCTCCTCCTCCTCCTCCTCCTCCTCCTCCTCGTCCCCTCCTCCTCCTCCTCCTCCTCCTCCTCCTTCTCCTCCGCTCTGAGGTCTACGACGGCGGCAGCATCATCCTCTACCGCGTCACGCTGCTGCACAAGGACGGCACGCGCCAGTCGGCCGTCTTGCAGCTGGACACCGAGAAGATCGAGGACCCGCTCAGAGTGTAGGGGCGACGGAGAAGCATACCTGCAGCGGCAGCAGGGCGATATCGGAACACAATTGCACGCACAGTGTGAGACTTGATGATGAGTATTATGGTGTCCATGGTGATGTTGTTGACTATGACGATGATGATGACGACCATGACTATGTTGATGATGATGTTGATGATTGTGTTGGTAAATATGCTACTGATGATGATGACGATGATGATGATGATGATGATGATGATGATGATGATGATGATGATGATGATCATGATGAATATGACGATGACGATGACGATGACCATGACGATGACGATGACGATGACGATGTCGACGATGATTGATGATGCTGATGTTGATGATGATGGTGGTGCTGGTGGTGCTAATGATGGTGTTAATGCTGATGAGTATGATGATGATAATGTTGCTGATGGTAATGATGAGGAGTACAATGAGGATGCTTTGGATGATGCTGATTACGATCATGATCAGGAAGATTGTGATGCTGATGAGGATGATGAGGATGATGCTGATGAAGATGAGGATGGTGATGCTGGTATGATGTTGTCGATGATGTTGATGATGATTGTGATGATGCTGATGATGCTGATGATGATGTTGATGATGCTGATGATGATCCTGCTGATGATGATGATGCTGAGGATGAGTATGATGATTCTGATGATGGTTACAGCCTATGATGGGATGGTGCAGGCAATGAGGGATGAAGCATGGCGATCTGCGGCGGAGGGATTCCGCCAGCTTGCTATGGTAATTGACCAGTTTGGGGTTGACGAGCAGCACGTTTTTTCTTTGCCCAAACGGGTACAGCACACGCCCCTTATAATGTTCTCTGCAGCTGCAAGGATTTCTGGCAAGTCGTGGGTGGTTCCAGCGTTACAGTGGGGCTGCCCGGCACGCAACAGGTACGCGCATGCGCATGCAAGTCTACGTGCGTGCGGCTTCCGCGCGGGGGCGAGGCCATCGGCGTCCGTGATCTTGGGCAATGTGTGAGCATGGGCGCAGGCCCCAGCAGCACGAGGTCAAACCAGCGTCTCTTGTCCATTACACTTGAGGTGAAAGGTTGAGGCGATATGCAAGGTCAAGGTGTTGAGCCATGCTTCAGCGTGAGTTCATGCGGCAGAACACTACGCAGTTTTGTTCGTTGTGACAAAAGCGCGCACCTAGCAGCGTTTCTCCGTCCCCCCCCCCATTGCCGCGGGCACCGCGAATCGCCGCGCGGTCCGCGGGGGATGGGGGGGGGCGGTTGTGTAAGAGGTTGGAAGTGGGGGGCCCGCTCAGGTCCTCGTGTACTCCGTGTTGTGGGTCTTGGTCCCCTTCATGACTTTCTCCCCGCGGCGGGGGAAGGGTAAACATACCCCCGCGCACGACGCGCGGCGCAGGGGCGCGCGACAGCCAATCGCGAGGCCTGCGCGCTCCGCGCGCGCGTCGGCTTGCCGCGGTAGCGGCGTTCTCCTTTCAGCCGCGCGGAGAGCGGGCGACGGGCGCCCTCCCGCGCCTGACGAGCCCGAGCGCGCGCCCCGCAGCCGCAGTCGCCGCGTCCGGCGGAGAGCGGCCACATGTGCTGACTTAGCCGCTGAGTGCGGCGCCGCGAGGTGGGGGCCCCGCGGCCGGGGATCGCGCGGCGCGGAATAAGCGATCGGTCAAACTCTGCCAGAATTGCCGCCATTTTGGGTAGCTGCCCTGAGACGCGGCCCAGCGCGATGAGCGGCTTCCGTTGTTGGGCAACATCTGCGATGACAGTGCTCGGCTGCGGCGCGGAATCCATCGCCCCACCCACGCCAGACGGCTTGGCGCGGCGGAGCACGTGCTTTCGCTGCAAAGGCACGTTCGAAGATTATCTTTCGCGCGTGAGCTTAGCGCGCATCGTGTTACGCGTATCGGTCGACGCTTTTGCAGACCCCGCAGTCGCGCGCGCTGCTCGAGCTGCGCAGGCACGCAAGATTTGGCAAGCTCGCCCAAGAATGTTCATTCGCGAGGCGCTTCTCGCGACATTGCTGAAGCATCTCGCCCACCAGCCTTCAGGGCGCGCGCTGCGAATGCTTATTCTTACGGCGTATATATTATTGTTGCGCCTGCCTTCTGAAGCTCTTCCGATTCACGTCGCTCGTGCAAGCGATCCACCGAAGGCGGACGAGCCGAAGTCGTGCTTGCGGTCTGATGGCAATTCGATTTCGCTTACTTTGCCGTGGCGCGAGACCCGCGCCTCGCCGATCGCGATGTCGCGGGCCTGTTGGCGCGCGCGCTGGAAAGCAACGTGCCCCGCGCGCACGTTGGGCAAGTTTTGCGCCGAGGTCGAGTCCGGGCAGCCTTTCGTGCATTTCCGCCCAGACGTGGTCTTAACGGCGCTGCGCGCAGCCCTGCGAGAGTTCGGGGCGCCCCAGCATCACGCGCATCGCACGTGCCATCTTCGCAGGGGTCACGCGCGGGACATGGCCGTCCGAGGTTCGCGCCTGGCAGACATCCTACGAGCCGGAGATTGGCGTTCTGCGGCTTTCCTGTCCTATTTAAGTAAGGACGAACTGGAGGCGGCTGCCATCAGGGGAGCGCGCGGCGACCTGTCGTCCAGCGACGATGATGAAGGCTAAAGGAATATCATTTTGGGCACCTTACGCGAGTGCGGCGATGGGTGTTCCCTCGCGCACCGGCGCAGCTAGTGCCTTGGGCGTCGCTGCACCCGCGCGGTCCCGCGGGGCGCGGCGACGCGAGCAAGGTGTCGCGCGTCCGCCCCGCGGGTGCGGGCCTACCCAACGAGCAGCGCTACCCGCGCTCTCCCCAACCCCCGCAAAGCTGTCTAGGGTGGCGTCTTGTGTGGGGCAGACAATACGCAGTTTTGTTCGTTGTCACAAAAACGCGTACCTAGCAGCGTTTCCCCATCCTCCCCCCCGCCGCGGGCACCGCGAATCGCCGCGCGGTCCGCGGGGGGGGGGTGGCGGGTGGGGCGGTTGGGTAAGAGGTTGGAAGTGGGGGGCGCGCTCAGGTCTTCGTGTACTTCGTGTTCTGGGTCTTGGTCCCATTCATGACGCCCCCACCGCGGTGGGGGGAGGGTAAACATACCCCCGCGCACGACGCGCGGCGCAGGGGCGCGCGACGGCCAATCGCGAGGCTTGCGCGCTCCGCACGCGCGTCGGCTTGCCTCGGTAGCGGCGTTCTCCTTTCCCCTCACCCTTCGCCGCTCCTGTGGTTGGGGCGGGGTTGCGGGGCGTCGCTGCACCCGCGCGCTCCCGCGGGGCGCGGCGACGCGAGCAAAGTGTCGCGCGTCCGCCCCGCGGGTGCGGGCCTAATTACCAAACGAGCAGCGCTCCGCGCTCTCCCCCCAGCCCCGCAAAGCTGTCTAGGGTAGCGTCTTTTGTGTCTGCTGGCAAAGGGCCTTCAGAGTCAGCATCTAAACACTTTGGCCATGGCTCAGGAGGGCACTGTAGGGGGCGAATTGGGCAGGAGGACGAAGAGGATGGGGAGGACTGAGAGAAGGCGGACGAGGGGGAGGACAAGGAGGACTCGGAGAACGGGGCGCGGAGGGGGGGGGGGGGGGGTGCACATGGACGGCAGGAGGAGAGGGAGGTGGAGGAGAAGTAGCGGGAGGTGGTACTGGGGAGCGGGGGGGAAGCGGGCCAGGAGGCAAGGGGGGAGAGAGAACAAGGGAGGGAAGGAGGAGACCCTTGCAAGGGCAGGCGCGGCGCACGGGTCTCTAGACCCCCCCGAGGCAAGCTGTGCGCACCAGGCCCGTCCTCGGGAGGCCGTCGGCGCCGGTGGTTGAGTGGGGGGGGATCGGGGGCAACGATAGGGGGGATAGGCACAGGGGGGGACGCATCGACCCCCAATCGCCCATTGATCGCGGGCAGGGGCACGATAGCCCAAACCTGCACTGGAGCGTGCGGATTCCCCATCGGGGGCCTATCGCCGATCTATCGGGCAATGTATCGCCGATTCCAGGTCGATGCTTCTCCGCCTCCCTTGTGCCCACCCCCCTTTTACTCGTTGCCCCATCAGGAGAGGGCTGGGCGGGGCCAAAGTGCAGTGGAGACCCATGCCAAAAAACGCCCTGTTTGCCTCCATAGTGCCCCGGGCTTCTTGGGCTTCGATGATTTTGCGATGGGGTGCGTGACGCTCTCGCGCCAAATTTCACTGGACGTGCTGGGGTCTCAGAGTTGAGGTTCTTGTGGGAAGTTTCTTGTGGATTGGCCTCCACTGTAGTTGAGTGGGGGGTGTAATGTTAAGTCGGGCCCGTCCCTTTACATGAGGAATACTGAAAAATCGTCAGAAAATAGTATGGGGATTTGTTTGTAGTATTTTTGACCAATTTGGAATATGTTTTGAATATGTTTTATGTTTCGTCGAAAATCCCCTTGTGCCCGAGTTAAGTGTAGGGGCGGGCGGGGCCACCGTAGACCCGTGATCCCGAGCAGGGAGCAGAGGAGGGCACAGTAATTAGATCTTGAGCGGCAGGCCTGTCCTTCCGGATCCAGGGTGCCGTTGGAGGAGGAGGAGGAGGAGGAGGAGGAGGAGGAGGAGGAGGAGGAGGAGGACGAGGACGAGGACGAGGAGGACGAGGAGGGAGAAGGACGAGGAGGAGACGAGGAGGCGGAGGAGGAGAAGAGGAGGGAGGAGAGGAGGAGGAGGAGGAGGAGAAGGAGGAGGAGGAGGGAGAAAAGGAGGAGAGAGGAGAGGAGGGAGGAGGAGGAGGAGGAGGAGGAGGAGGAGGAGGAGGAGGAGGAGGAGGAGGAGGAGGAAAAGGAGAAGTAGGAGGAGGAGGAGGGAGGAGGGAGGAGGAGGAGGAGGAGGAGGAGGAGGAGGAGGAGGAGGAGGTCGCGGGCCCTCGTCGACCTCGTCGTGTGCCCTTCCCGATCAAGCTCGATTGTAGGAGGGTGCCCACCGCCGCGCGCCCGCTCCGGTGTCCTGCCCTCCTGCCCGCAGGCCCCCAGCCCTGCCTGTGCCCCTCGCCTCCATGGGGCAACAATACAGGGGGGGATAGGCACAGGGGGTGCATCGACCCCCAACCGCCCATTAATCGCCGATGGGGGCCCGATAGCCCCAACCTGCCCAGCAGTGTGCGGATTCGCTATCGGGGGCCTATCGCCGATTCCAGGTCGATGTTTACCCCCTCAGCCTATCCCCCCTATCGTTGCCCCTCACCCCCATGGCTCCCAGGACGGCCGCGACGGCAACAGCAGCCGCATGCGCATGGTGGAAGAGCCTTCCTCGCGGCTCCAGCTCATGTCGGGGGGGGGCCCCCAAACGGAGTGGTGACCACACCGTGTGGTGAGTCGATGGGGATTCGGGGTCACCGCACGGTGTTGGGACTCGAGTCCTTCTCCGAGGATGTCTCGGGCGACAGGGGCCTCCAGGGTCCCAAGGCCGTGCGGTGACGGACCGTGACCGTGCGGTCAGGTCTTGGGGGGATTTCGAGGTCACCGCACGGTCTGTCACCGCACCGTTCCGGGACTCCAGTTCAGCAGCAGGAGGAGGAGGAGGAGGAGGAGGAGGAGGAGGAGGAGGAGGAAGAGAAGGAGGAGGAGGAGGAGGAGGAGGAAGAGGAGGAGGAGGAGGAGGAGGAGGGGGAGGAGGAGGAGGAGGCCGCGGGCCCTCCAGCTCGTGCCTCGGAGGAGGAGGAGGTGCCCGTGCCGCGGCCCTGCCCTCGCCCTCCCCTCTCTCTTGGGGGCCCCTCCCCCGCCGAGAGGCCCCTCGTCGCCACCGCCGGGTGGCGTCGCCTCGAAGGCCTGGCCCCAGGGGCCCCCCCGTCCCTGTCGACAAAAATCAGGAGGGGAAAAAACACCCAGACACAATTCATCGTCGATCCCCAGGAAAATGTGGGAAAATATGGGAGGTGGGGGGGAAGACAGGAACCCAGGAGATATGGGAAAATAGGGGGAATCCTTTTATTTGTGTGTATTTGTTTGTGTGTCCCAGGGCCCCTTCAAAAAACTATGCGAGGGATCGCTCGGTGCCCGCGCACGGTCCAGATCTTGCCGCAGCGTGCACTCTGCACTGTCCGTTTGACGGGGACGGTGGGGGGCTGTTGCGGTGATTCCAGGGTCGCCCCTGGTCAAGGGGGGGAGGGGGCGTATGCCAATAGTAGTGAGCAGTGATCACATCTTCCTTCGAATGCTCGGGGGTGGACAGACCTCGTACCCTGGCACGTCGATTAAGGGATTGGTTGTCTTCGGTTCGCGAGAGGGCGTCGCGGCCGTCACTTTTGCGGGTACAGGTCCGTCGGTTTCAGTCCCAGGCCGTGTTCACTAAGGGGAGGTTTACGAAAGGGAGGTTTGTCCAGCGCCGAGAGGAGTGGCGGTACGTCGGGCCTGTCCTTCTGTAGGAGGGATGCTCAAAAGTGGTATAAAAATAGTCTGGAGACGATGTCTGGAGTATTTTCGAGCATTGGTTGAGTTTTTGTTAGTATGAATGTGTCGCCCAAACTCCGCCTGTGGGGGGACATGCCCGACCTAAGTGTAGCGGTATTGGCACCTTTTAGCATTTTTGTGTCATGGTGCTCGTCGTTGCCCTCAGGGGAGGGACAGTCACAGATGCCGCTTCCCCTTCCCCCGTGGCCACGGCAGGATTCGCCCCGAAGTGTTCGGCGCTGCGCTCAATACGCACTTGCCCACCCAGAGCCGATGCACGGGGGAGTTGTCTGGAAAAGGGGGCGTAGGTAAGCATGACCACCCACCAAACCACCCCAACCCAACCCGAAGGTCCAAATGTATCCTCGATTCCCAGTGGGGGGGGGTCGGGGAACGTAGGAAAAACACATGGAACCCGTACCCCCCCCAAACCCGAAATTCGGGTCAAATTCGGGTCTTCGGGTTGGGTTGGGGTGGTCTGGTAGGTAGTCAAAGCATGTCGTGAATCAAGGATGCCAGCAATAGTGAAAGCAGACCTGGGGGAGCCTCTCGGAGCCATCCTGGGGCCCTGTCTCCGGCCTCTTGGGTGATTTCGTGGGCCATCTTGGAGCCATCTTGAGGCCTCAAGAGCCCATCGGAAGCGAACAGGCGAGACGGCAAACCAATATTTGAACCAACATCCGCGTGTGTGTGTGTGGTTGTGTTAAATGGTTTCGGCCTCTCAGGGGGGTCCTCGGGAGGCCATGTGGCCAGTTGGAGCCGTCGTGTAAAAGCTACGACGCCTTTTAGAGATACATTGGGAGCTATATTGAGCCATCTTGGGTTTTCTTGAGGATCCTGGAGGCCATCTTGAGCTACCTGGGGTCATCTCGGACGTTCTACCCCTTCGCTTATCCCCCACTGAAGACCAAGGGAGAGGGGTAGGGGGAACGGCAGAACTGCCTCTCCCCCAAGGGCAAGACGGAGGTTTGAAGAACTAACTCGTTAAACCGCCGACGCCCAAGGCTGGTTGGAGTATGCTCGCAACGCGCCCACGAAGAGACCCGAGGAGCAGCGATATCGATGTCGATGCTCCCGTGGGTCGGTCCGCCGTTCGGGTCACGAGGGCGAGGGGTCCGGGAGCCCGTGCCGAGGTGTGCCTGCGGCTCTCCGCGCTCCTGCTGCTCCTCCTTGCTGTCCTTGGCTTGGTCGGGAGGGCGGGGTCTGGGAGCCCACGCTGCGGGTACGCTCGCGGCTCCAGGTTCGTTCCCTCCCTGCGCCGCTCGGCTGGGCCGGCCGTTCCGTCGACGAGGGCGGGGCCCGGGAGCCCGCGGCCCGGGGCGTGCGGCTCGCGGCTCCGGGCTCCCGTGGCTCCTCCGTGCGCCCCTCGGCTTGGTCGGCCGTTGGGTCGACGAGGGCGGGGTCTCGGGGCCCGCGCCGAGGTGCGGGACGCGACAAAGGGCCGGGTCGGGAGGGGCACCGTGTGTGCAGCGGCGAGGCCCCACGGGGCCGCGGCCAGGGCAGAAGCGGATCCCGCTCCTCCTCGTGCCGCTCTCCGTGCTCTCGCCCCTGTGCGGCGGGCCCACGGGGTGCTCGTCTTTCGGGAGGGCGGGGGGGGGGGTTGTCGCGCCGTCACGCAGCGCGGTTTCATCACAGCAGCCCAGCGCGATGCCTCAAGAGCCGTCGAGGGCTGAACGCACGAGAGTCTGGCCGCACCGTTCTGGCACCGTCGCGAGAGCTCACAGGATGCTCCGTCCCCGCTCCAGCAGCGCTGGATGTATCGCCACTTATCCGTGTTTTGCGTGGGAGTAAGTTTCAGCATGAGGTGTCGTGTCCCCCGGCTATTCACGCCTCCTACTGCTTATCAGTTGTCGCTAGTGGGCGCTGATAGGCGCTAATGGAGACTCATAGCCACCAATAGGCGCTAATATGCGCTGATTGGGGCATTGGTAAAAACAAACGGCGCTAAGCAGGTGGAGCCTGTCTTACAGTCACTTCCACACATCATGCACACAACACGACCGTCGTCTCCGTACCTCCGAAACTGGCATGATGCTGTATTTTCCCGGGCGTTCTTGTTATCGTCCCTCCACTTCATGAAGTTTAATTTGAGCCATCTTGCGCCTCGGGGTGCATGCAGTCTCACTGCTTCTGTTTCTGTCTTCGGAGATATGTGATCCTCCCCATACCTTTCATCCTCTCCCCCGCCTCCCCAGCAGACGAGGTTCCCGCTCGAGCCGTGCCGGGTGTACCACAACCTCTCCCCCGTGAATCGGGTGTTCGTCTACTCGTCGTCGGCATATCAGACGCCGGAGGATGGCATTGGCAGCCGGGGTTCTATCGCTGCTGCTGCTGCTGCTGCTCCTCCTCCTCCTCCTCCTCCTCCTCCTCCTCCTCCTCCTCAGGGACGCATCTTTCGAAAGGGGTGAGCACAGCATGGGGGGGCGGCCCTCTAAGGCTTCAAGGGCCTTGCGATAGCCCGGGTCAGCGGGCCCGCCCGCTCCCCCCTCCAGATAATTAGCCTGACCTTGTGGGATGCGCAGGCCCGAAGCGGGTGCGCAGCTCTGGCGCGCGCGGGCATACCTCGGGATGTCCACAGCGGGATGGTCAGGGTATCGGTCGGCACATCCCCCCCCCCCTCCACCCCACCCCCCACTGGATCAGTGAGGTCATCGCCGAAAAGAAGAGCGGCCCCAAAATCGCAGGATCTTGGTCGCCCTGGAGGAGCAGCGTGGCGCGGCCTTCTTGGTATAAGAAAGCAGCGAGGTCCTCGTGCGTCTCGAGAGGCCCCGTGCGCCCCGCGCAGCCACGCGGCGCGGGCCCCATTGTAGACGGGCCGCTCCCTCTCTGATCACGCCCCCCTTCCTCCTCCTCCTCCTCCTCCTCCTCCTCCTCCCTCCTCCTCCTCCTCCTCCTCCTCCACCTCCTCCTCCTCCTCCTCCCCCTCCTCCCCCTCCTCCTCCTCCTCCTCCTCCTCCTCCTCCTCCTCTTCTTCTTCCTCCTCCCTCTCCTCCTTTTACTCCTTCTCCTTTTACTCCTCCTCCTTTTCCTTCTCCTCCTGCTTCTTCTTATCCCCATCGCGCCCGCTGATTGCAGTCGTCTGCAGCTTCTCGGCCCGAGCTTGCCCCGCTTCGGCCCCCGCCGCCCCTCCCGCGCCCGCGCGACCAGGGGCGCCGGGAGCCTGCGCCGGCCCCCGCTGCTCAGGTGTCCATCGACTTCTACGCGGCGGCGGCTTTCTTCTCGGACCACGCGTGGAGGCGGTGGTCCACTCTCCCCCCTCGAGCGCGGTATTGCAGGGGGCCCACTTTCCCGTCAATCCGTTCTCGTGTGGGGCGAGCCCGACTGCGCCGAGCAGCCAGTCGGTGACGGCACGGGGTTGCCTCCCTGTTCGGGTTGGCTCGCGCCACTTATTCCTGCACGCCGCTTGCCTGCAGGCGGGGCGCTCGCGCGCCCCTCAGGCCACCTGTCCTACAGGCGCCTGTCGCCAACGGCCTCCTGGCCCATGGCGTCCGCGGCTGCACCCCCAGCTTTCCGCGGTACCGACCCGCCGCGCTGGTGCCCCCCGACGGGCCCGCCGCCTCCTCTGCAGCGAAACCTTCCTCCACCTCCCCCTCCTTTCTCCCGCCATTCTTCCCCTTCTTCCCCTGGGGTGGCGGAGTTGGAGACTCATGGGAGGACCGGAGGAAGGAGAGGTGGAGCTTGCACGCCATGTGCTGCGGCACCTGATCAGCCCAATGTCTCACGAGGTGCTCCGGCGCACAGCTCCTACGCCCGCCTCCCGATGGCCCCAGACGGCGCACTGTCTCTGCCTGCCAGTCGTGCCGCCAGCGAAGCCACTGCCGATGAGAGCATCCCTCAGAGCCGCCCGTCAGAGGGCACAGGCGCCAACGGTGCGAAGACAACCGCGCTATGGGTGGAGGAGCCGGAGTTGGTGGACCCTTCTAACCTCCACCTCCTCGCTACTCCTTCTCCTCCCCTCGCCGCCTCGCCCTGGCTCAACCTTGATGCTTGGCGGAGCAGCCCTCGTGCGGACACCTGTGGCTTCGAGGTCGCTGAAGGCTTTTCCTGTCCCGCGGGGTGGGGCGCCGGCGGCGCTACGACGATTCCGCCCTATCCTGGCTGGGACGCTCCAGCGCGCGAGCCGCCCGACTTGCCTGGGCTGGCGAGTACGGTGCAACGCCCCCGCCCGCCTCCAGGGCTGGATCCTCCACCGCTTTCCATGAGCTTGCAGGCGGACTCGCCGCCAGGCTTCGCTGGGCTGGAGGGCGCCCCGCTCGCGATGGGGCCGTTCCCCACTCTCGCTGACGTGGAGGCTGGTGCTCGCGTGCCCCCGTCAAATTCCATGATCGCCATCGCTCCGACATATGGGGTTCACCTGTCAGGAGGTGCCAACTCGCAGTGGACTTTCATCGAGAAGCACGTTTCGCACCCTCTGGTGCGCACTTCCTTTCTGCCGCCGATGCACGCGTGGGACCCGCACACGGGCTCCGACATTCAGAGCGTGGCTCCGCCACCAGGCTTCGCCGGCTTGGAAGCTGGCGCACGGGTGCCGCCTTTGGTCGACTCCCGCGCGTCCGATGCAGCGGGTGGGGGTCCGTGGCTTAGCGGCGAGCGTCTGCCGTGCACCGGGTCGTCGCCACTGCCGTTTTGGCGCCCCACGGCCGCCGTCGGTGACCGCGCGGCTGGCGGAGCCGCCGTGAGTGCGGAGTCGCCTCCTGTCGGTGGTGGCTCGCCTTCCCACGTCGGGCGGGTTGGGCCGCCGCCGGGCCTCGCCGACCCACAGGCGGGAGTTCATACGCACCCGTCTCTCCACCCTAGCAATGTTCGCCCGGCCTCTTTGACTGCACAACCGAACCTGGAGTCCGCCGCCGTGGCGCCGCCGTCGACGCACGTCTGCGCGACCGCTGCCTTGGTTGGGACTCCGGCGCTTGTCAGCAGTATTCACCTGGTCGCTACGCCAGGCGGTACCTCGACGGCTCGGTGTCACCATTCACCGCCTGGGCTCGTGGCGCTGTCGGGTCCCGAGGCCTGGTGTGCGGGTCTGCCTCTGGACCTCGCCGGTTTGGATGCGGGTGTGCGGATGCCGCCGTCGCGCTATCCATGCTCGGCCGTTGTTGAGGTGGGGGTTCCCATGCTTGGTGCTGGGTCCCACCAGTGGGCCTTCGATTCGGGGCGAACCGTGATCCCGTTCTTGCGGACCCCGCCCTCGCCTCCGGCGCAGCCTCCTGCGCTCGGTGCCACTCGTTCAAGCTTCCGCGACATTTCGCAGACGCTCGGTCTAAGCGGGGGTCCATCCACGCCCCCGATGGGCCCGCCGCGCCACGATGTGGCGGTTGCACTGGAGCCAGGCGCCACCGCTGGTGCATCCTGGGCGGCCCGCGCAGCGGTTGCTCGCGAGTCATCCTCGACGCCCCCCCTGCTGCCACGATGGGGGTCGGTGGGCGGGGGGTCGCTTCGAGCGCTTCGGACGCGGATTCTGCTCCCAGACGCGCCACTGGCGGGCCCCCAGCGATGTTCGGGGGACCCCCTGCTGTGCACGCAGTCTCGCTTGCGAGCAGTCCCACCACAGCGAGGGCGCCCACTGCCATCGGTAGCGTGGTGGACGCGCCAGAAACGCCCGTCCGCAGTGCCTCGACCGAAGCTGCGATCCCCACGCCTCGGGGCGCTTGCACTCGGAACGCAGCGGGCACTCAAGCAGCGGGATCACCTCCAGGCCTCATCGGCCCCGCCGCGGGCTCCTCGGGTGAAGGCGTCGCCGCAGCCGCTGCCATTGCAGCGAGGCCCCGACGCTTCTCGTGCAATCGGATCCAGGGCCCCGTCGCGTCGATCCCTGCCCGCGCTCGCGAGCGCCTGCTGGCCGACCCTCGTGGTCTGAGCCCCTCTCCGTCCCCACTGGTAGGCATGCGCCCCTCCAGCGATGCTGTTGCGGCCCCGCAGGGAGGGGTTCGTGCCGCCGGTGGAATGTCAGGAGCGGGCTCGCCCGCGGCGGACACGACGCCCCGCGATGCGGTCCCTGCGCTCCGCTCTGGTCGAGGAGTCGCTTTCGCCGCGGGCTCCTCGGATGAATGCGTCGCCGCAGCCACTGCCACTATAGCGCGGCCCCGTCGCCGCTCGGCCTCCACCAACAGCAACCCCGCACTCCCCGCCTTCAGGCTCCGACGTGTTCGTAGGGTCCGCACTCGGCGTGGAGGACGGCGGGGTCGTGGGGCCGCCGATGGTAGCTGCTGTACAGCTCACGCTCCAGCCCATGCTGGTGCGACTGCCTCGTCTACGGACGCCCTCGTCGGTGCTTCAGAGGCCGCTTCTGGGGCCCGTGCTCCAGGGAGCCGCAGTTCGCTGGTGCAGGTGGCGGCGGGCCCTTGCCGCGCCGCTTCCGCCGGCTCCCAGGCCGCCGGCGATGCCGCCCTCCATGGCGGCGCATCCCAACACAGGGGTGGACGCACGCGCCCTGCGTGCCCTGGCCGAGGGCTCACGCAGCGGCGAGTCGCTGAAAGCGACGACGCTGCTGCTGCCAAGCGTGCCTGGGCTGAGCGAGGCCGTGAGAGTAGGCGCGCGCTCCTCCAGCGATGCTGTTACGGCCCCGCAGGGAGGAGCTCGCGCCGCTGTCGCGACTCTCGCTCTACCCCCGGCTCCCCCTCAGGGCCGAGTGGCCAGTTTGGCCAGTTTCACCATGCTGCCGGAGTCCATGCCGTCGGTGACTCAGACGCGCCGTCCTTCGGTTCTATCGGTTCTGGTGGCAGTGGGAAGCCCCTTCGAGGTGACCTGTCCTCAGGGGTCACAGCCGCTCCACAGGCCCCTCGATTTGACTTGTCCTCAGGGGCCGCTGCCAGTTCCGAACCCTCTCGCGTTGATTCGCCCGCAGGGGATTTAGACCCGAGGTCGTCTGCACCTGCCAGCACCACGCCATGCCATTCTGGTCGGTTTCACCGCGGTGCTGAGGCCCACGCTCCTGGGGCTTCAGCCCGTGCCAGCACGGGCATTGGCAGATCTGCGCCCTTCGTGGCCGATCTGTCCGCCTTGCTGCGCCTGTTCCCAGGCGCCAGCATCGACGTCACCCACTGGGCCGCTGCTCTTGCCCAGGTCGGGATGGGGACTCGATGCTCCCTTGCCGCTTTTACCCGCACTTCCCTCTGCGCGCCGGATTGGGACGACTCGTACCTGTCGGAGTCGGTTCCCCGCGATCCATGGCCGTGCCCTCCGTCGCCGCCTTTACCGCCGCCGCCTGGCCACCTGTCGGGTCGCGCGCGTGAGCGCTGGCGTGTGAGGCGCGCCGCCCGCACGTTGTCGCAGCATGCTGTTGTTGCGCTCAACTGGC